AGCTTCTTAATTAGGTCTTGTTGCAACCTCGGAAGAAATTGCTTCTAATAAAATAAGGCTTGAACGGGTTCTTTTGAATTTTCAGGCCTTACCAAAAGGGGGGTTCAAGGTGGATTGGGCCCGTCCAAAGCGCCTAGAGTCCAGCGAAGCTCTAACGGGATTCGCTAAACAACCATGAACCCACAAATTCTTTTACTCCCGTGGCGTGCCTCCCAGGCCCTCTTTCCCCCCCCCTTCCGGGGGCCACCGTGTTCGGGTTTTCTTTTGGTGGCATTCCCTTCCAGGTCCTTCTTCAAAAGGCTCCCTAAACCAAACCCTTTCCGGGCCCTTCGCCAAGGGGCAATCATCCACGGCCAAAAAAGCCACCAAGACCCCCTGTGGGGAAAGGTTCCCCAAACAGAGAAGGGTTCGTACAATGGTTTGCTTTTCCTTACAAGAACCTTCCTAGCTTCAATTGAGGCTCTGCCTTCCCAAGTTGGTGCCAGATGAAGTTGTTAATTTCGGAGGGGCCAATTCCAGGAACCCAAGAGTTTTTCAACTTGCCTGGGCTTGGAAACAAGGAACAACAAATCATGGAGAGAGTCAAAACAAAGGGGCATCTTCCCCAACAAGAAGAAGTGGATAGCAAACAACCGTTTTCTTCAGCCAGCCTCGAACTTGGCAAGCCACCTCTGACTTTCAATCCAAAGGCAGTAAGTCCCAATTTTCCATCCCACCTATCTGGTGGACCCTTTCTTGGGCTCCAGTTTTCCCAGGAAAAAACTTTGGTTAGGGCCTGTGACCGGCCACATTGTTCGCACCGGGGAACCGGGGTCCCTGAGCTTTCCAACAAAAGGGGGAACGACAGGGATGGAAGCGGCAGGAAACCAGAGGTGCAGGGGGAAACGTTCCAAAAGAGCACGAAAGGAAGATTTTCCCAAAAGAAGAGCAAGGGCCGGTGGCAAGGATTCAAAAGAAGACGAGAGGCCTGCAGAGGTCCGGAAGAAGCAGGGCTGGCAGAGGGTCCCATGGGGAAGCAAGAAGCTGGGGCGGAGTCCAGAGACGGCTCGGGCTGCTGGGGCGAGGAGGGGTGGCCCTTCAGCAGAGGGCCAGGCAGGGAGGAGAAGCGACAAAAAAACAAGGGAAGTTGAGATGGAGGCAAGGATGAGGCGGAAAGGGAGACGTTTGGCAAATGGGGCTTTTTTTTTCTTTCATTCCAAACTTGAAGAAAAACAGTTAAAGGTGACGGAACTTTTTCCATGCTTTTTTATGTTTGGCAAAGTAAGCCAGAACATTTTCATTTTAGTTTAATTTTAACCCAACAAATAAACATTAAAACAACAAAGTTGGCTGTTTTCTGGATGGATTGAGGGTGAAATTAAACTGAAAGTTGGCATTGGAAGATTTCCAAGGCTTTATGGTGTGGTGGGGTTTTTGGGAAGGACAAACTGTTCCTGAATTTGCCTTGGTTCCTTTCCGGCCCCACGGCCAACTCTCCCAAAAGGAAGGCTTGCCAGAGGGAATTTTGGGATTTTATCAGGGGAGCATTCAGGCAGGGACCGTTCTCCAAAGTAAAACTTTGCCCTTCCCTTGCTGGAGAGCTTTAGGGAGGAACTAAAACGGGGAGGGAAACTTAATTTCCAAAACCTTGAAGGACCCTTTCTCCAATGGCTTCCAGGAGTGGGATGCCCTTTGTCCCCCCAGGCATGGCCCCCCCCTTCAGGAAAAAACTTTCTCCCTTCCTCCTCGGAGGCAAAGGGGGCAAAAAAAGGCCCCCCTTGTGGACCCGTTGTCGGTTGAGGGCCATTTCATGGAGATGATGAAGCTGAAACCAACATGGGCTTTTTAAGTGCTTAAGTCAAGAGTTGGAGCGGTCCCAAGTTCCAGAAAAAAACCCAAACACCAGCCCAAATCCCAAAGTCAGCTTCAAACAGCAGGAAAGTGGACCACTGGTTCCTTACGTTTTGCCAAAAACAGCGCTTAAACAGCTATGGGAGAGTGAATAACTGGTTGAATTGGGCTCTCGCTCTCGATGTTTTCCCCAGGTTCCTGAAGAGTAGTGTACCAGCGCTCTTTCAACCACTCTCTGCGGGCTGGGATCTGCGGAGGAACTATTGAAAGCGTTCGTTGGTCTTTGAAACAAAGGGGCAGTGGCAGCGACTGCCGCAAAAGCCCTGAAAAAACACGCTCTGTCCAACATCCAAGCCATGTCCTCTGGAAGGAGATGGCTGTGGTGGGGTATCTTCCAGAAATCCTCAGAGTTTCTTATGTAAGACGGTAAAATAAAATAAATGTGATAACATAATTTGCGAATGAAAAAAGGAAAACATAAAGGGCCAAAAATGAAATATCTGTCCTTCCTTTGGTTTTGGCAACTTCTCGTTTTCCAGATTTCCTATCGCTGAGATCATTCTCCTCGCGGTTCCTCTGACTTCTGGTGAATAGGAGCGATTCTCTAGGTCCTTGGGAAATCACAAGCTGCAAGGTCCCACAAGAAGGTAAAAACCAGGCACTGCAGACAAAACTCAGTTTCAGAAAAACTGCTGTTTCTCCTCTTAGAACAAAAGTCATTCCCCTAAGTGGCAAAACCTTGGACAAAAACCAAGGACTGATGAGAGTGACAAAGGAGAAAGAGCGTTTGCTCTCTCGCCATATGCGTGGAAAGCAGTGCCCGTGTGTTTGTAACAATCTTATTAGACAAAATTTATAGAACAGTCCTTAAAATAATATGTGTTAACTGCGCAATTTACAGAAATGTCTAAAAAAAAAAAACATTATCAAATTTAATTTTCATAGTGTACAGTGTTTGGTTCTGCCAAAAAATTACTTCTGGGAGGGTTCACACGTTGGTGGTCCAAATGACGACAAATGTCCGCACATTTGTGCCTGGCGCTCTGCCCAGCAAAGTGTTATTGCGGAGAGCTTCTCTTTTTCTGTGTCCTGTGTGTGTTCTATTTTAGTGAATGGTGTATGAGAATTGCAAGGTTGTCGACACATTTGTGTGGGTCTGGTGTGTTCCCTTATTCTTGAAGCAGAATTGATTGGGAAAAAAATTCTTTGCAACCTAAGTGTGATTTATACATGTTAATGCATGCGTTTTACTAACACTTCGAAAACCTTTGAGCTTCAGTGAGTCTGTTGTGCATGTATGGTGTCTTTTCACTAAAATATAGGTTAGGTAAACTTTGTTCACGCTGTACATTTCTGGTTACGCAGTGGCCGAAAACATTTTAATGCAAATAATCCTGATAATTAGATTCTGTTTTTAAACAAAGTTGAATCATTGTTAAAACTCTCGGTTCTGTGTTAATGGGAAAAAAATTGAATCAGGCCTTTTTCTCATAATGAGGAGGCCTGCTCTACTGATGGCTGAATACCCTTCTTAAACACCGGCCTAGAATAGTGTGTGTTGTTGTGTGTGTTTGTTGTGTGTGTTGTTGTGTTGTGTGTGTTTTGTGTCGTGTGTGTGTGTGTTTGTGTGTGTGTGTGTGTGTCTGTGTGTGTGTGTGTAAATCAAAACACAAACATATTTGTAATTAATATTAAAATGTCATTATTTTTTTTTTTTTTTTTTTTGATGGTTTCCACTTGAGCTGGAAGCTCGGTGTGGTTTTTATATGTATGTGTCTTACACCCAAACATTACCAAAATTCATTAATTTCGACGGACGTACGTTGCTTTGAAATGGGGAAACTCAAAGCCCCACATATATTCTTCAAAAAAATTAGTTTTGGGAGTGTAAAAATGACTCAGTTTAAAAGCTGCTTATTGGAAAACCCCCACTAAAAAACAGGGCTCTTTTTTGCGTTAATGGAGTATGCGTACATGATTTCAGTTAATGGATCTTGAATACTTTGAAAACCAACCTCACTGATTATTTTATTACAAATCGAGCAAAGAATCTTCAAACTATACGTGTTTCAAGCGTGTGTGGAATGTGTTGTTCTGGTTTGTGACGATGATGTAACAATGAACCCAAACCAAGAATTGTATGTGAGGGGGGGGGTTTCATGAGGTTTTACACTTGAACTGAGCTCAGTGAGGTGCTTGTGTGCTGTTGTTGTGGGTTTTCAGTCCTGGTTGGATCGACTTTTAAACATTTCATTTTGGGTGGCTTATGATTTTTGTTCGGCTGCAAAATTAGGGCCTTTCCTGTTCTGAACTGCCTTTTCTCCTCCACCACAAATCTCCACGAGGAAGCTTTAACATCTTCCACCGAAACCCTGAGCAGGAAACAGAAAAGCACGTGGTGAGGGTTCTTTTGTTCATGTTTTAATTGAGGGGTTTTTTACCTCTTTGCCAAAATCTATTTAGAAAAAATCTGGATGGAAAAGATGAAAAGAAATTGAAATTGGCTACTAGAAAGATTCTGTTTCTGGCTCTTTTATCCAACTTTAAGAGAAATCTTGGCTTGGGGTTTTTCAGTTCCAAATTTTATGAAAGCAATAAATAAAAGGTGTATGAGCTTGCTGCGCCGTCCAGGGGTTATGCGCTCTCGCATGTACACACAACCAGTGGGCTGGCTTGCTTTGCTCTCTGAATTGCATATCTATCCCACAATGCCCTGTTCGTGTTTTCCCCACGGAAATTGATTTTTCTGATTGTGGGTTGCAACCGCAAACCCCCCCCTCCCCCAACGTTTTCTTGTTGCTCTGTGTTGCGTTGTAATGAGTGAAAACACGCGTTGAGGATCGTGGTTATTTGCCAAAAAAAATTATAATTGTACACAATTAGCAAAGAACGCCTATTTTTCACAGCGACCTTGTCACAGATTGACCAAATACAGGGACATTTCTCCTGCGAGTAAACCACGGGCTAAGTTTTTGCCTTGGCTTCAAGGGCCCACACTAGTAGTGGTGTTCAGCGCAAGGAATTTGAAAAACCGCAACTTTCCGATCATTCGCCCAACCTCCTAATCCCTTTAGACCGCAAAAAAAAAAATAAAAAAAATTTTTATTTTTTTTCTTTTAAGAATCATTTTGTATTGTTGGCGGCCCGCCATAAATAAAATGTATGGGGAAAACACTGCTGTTTCATGTAATAAGTGAAGGAAAATGTGCTAAAAACCAATAGGACCCGTGTTAACCTATTCCCAAACTTCTTAACCCTTGCATGGCGAACTAGGAAATAAGGAATTTTATGCAGAAACAAAAGCGCCAATCTTAATGTACAAAAGCTCTAGTGTTGAAATCTGCAGAGGATTTACAATGTCCTCGTTGTCTTTTAAAAAGTGTTCCAGCGGAATGTCAGAGATTAGTTTTTGGAAGCCTGATGGGCTGTGACTTCACAATTTAGCTTCCCTTCTGAAATGCAGTTGTGGCATATGATTTTGGTTTGTAATTGTTTCGGATAAATCCGGTGAACTATTCTCAAATTCCATGATTGAAAATTGAATTATAATTGAATAATTAATGTGTTACAGCTGGAACCTGTTCTCAAGGCTTCCTAAGGCTTAATTGGGGTGTTCCCATTTCACATCTTCTCTTTTATGGCTCATGATTATACCTGTCATTCTAAGTTTAAACTTGTGAAATGAATGATGTTGTGTTTTATAACTTGTTATGAGGCGTAAATCTGTTCTCCTTCTTTTCCTCTTCCCACTTCTTTCTTTAGAATGAATGCCCGCTGCTCAGACGTGTGTGTAGAACCGGAGCGTGGAGCAGAATTCGCCTCCATGTGTTCTCGCCACCTGTTCAGAGCGTCTGCTGCTTTAGGGACAGCCTTCCCCTGCAGACCGTCCTGGCCTTTCTGTAGGCTCCTCTCTTTAATTGAACAGCCAGCATCCAGCACATCATAGACAAATAACACACGGGAGCTGAAACATCTTCCCTCAGCACTGTTGGCAGAAACCACAGGTACTGTAAACAAAACACCCTTTGAAAAACAGTCCAAAAAGGTCAATCAGAAGATTGCAGCATGCTTGAATAGTTTTATCCGTCGTCCTTTGTTGGTCTTCAGACAGTGGAAGGCTCCATATGTGGACGGAATTCGGCTCTTCAGTCTTCCCAGCAGTCTTTGCTTGGAGTTCCGGAGAGGAGAGGGCGGAGTGAGAGCTCCCACCTTCCCCTCAGTCTCTTTCCCTCAGATTGGGCAGCAGCACAGAGGAGGGGCCTGGTCAGTGACTCACATTCTTACAGTAGACTAGAGAGGACAGACCAAACTCTGGCTCTCGACGGGCTTTTTGTGTTTGTTTTTTTGTGACCTTAAAGGGGCCACCTGTAACTTCTCTGAGTTGCTTGGACAGTGAGGGGCTGATCTGAGGGGATTCCTTTTCATGGTTTAAGCCCGTTGTACACAGTTACATCTTTTACTTTTTTTAACATTAAATTGTGTTTTTATCAAATTTGACATTTTGTAATTTGTAACTTAAAGGTCTCCATTATACTGTTTTTTCATTAATATATTATAGCTCTCCGATAATATACACACATGTCTCAGAAGTATTTTTGCTCCAAAACCCCCAAACTTATACTGTTTTTCATTAATATATTATAGCTCTCAGATATATACAACACATGTCTCAGAAGTATTTTGCTCCAAACCCCAAACAGATCATTGCAGCATTACACATAATCCCCTCTGTTTCAGCCCTGTTTCCAAAGTGCTGATTCTCTGTCTGTTAATTTAGATGAAAATAAGGAGCCCCTCCCCACGCCCCTCTGAGAGACATTTGGTTACAAAGAACTCAATGGTGCTCTAGGAGGAGATTCAGGTGATAAGGGGGGGGTTACCCAAGACAAAACATCGTTATGACATCCTCAAGTGGCCAAGATCTGATCAGCTCATTTTCAGACAGGTTTTTATAGAAATGGATAAAAAAGAGAGAGAATCTTTGTTCCTGAAACTTTCAGAGTCTCTTTGAAGGAGAGGGGACACATGTTGATGTAGAAGAGACATGAAGAAGAGGGGACACATGTTGATGTAGAAGAGACATGAAGAAGAGGGGACACATGTTGATGTAGAAGAGACATGGAGAAAAGGGGACACATGTTGATGAAGAAGAGGATTTTGCATGATAGGTGACCTTTTAAAAGTTATAATGCAGGACTTGTTGGGATTACATGTTTTCCTCTTAAGTCCAACCCATTCCATTCACCTTGTTTTTAATGCAAGGCATTCAAATATAATACTTTACTCCTGAATCTGTGATTGCAGAAGTCATACACTTCAAGTTACTATAAACCCCTGTGGTTCGCCTGTACCGTGGAGTCATTTTAAAAAATGTTTTCCATAAGAACGTATCAAAATGTGTATAACCCTTAGTTCTTCTTACACCACTGCACATTATGAATGAAAGTCAGTTAAAATCTTTGATTTTCTTTTTTTCACATGATTTGTTTTTGCCCCAGGAATGCCACACTGCAGTCCCTCCAGTCCTGGAGCCGCTGTCAGGCGAGGAGCCGTCACCAGCTGAGGACCACGAGCAGGACTCCTTCAGACCTCTGATTGGCCAGCTGACGGACCAGTCATCCTGTCTCGCTGCTGACCACATGGACTCGGCCATGGAGCAGCTGGTAGGTCAACCATCGGCTCACTCTTCCATGATTGGTCAGCTACCTGGTCCGATCTCGACAAGCTTTGATCACGGCGGCTGGGACTCCACTCTGAGCCGGATGATTGGGCGACTGTCCCATCAGTCCAGCTCTCATTGGCTGAGTGGTGGGCAGAACTTTTATGCAGGTCAGCTGATGGGCCGTGCAGTCGGTTTGGAGCAGTCGGCCGCGTGGTCGGAGGAGGGTCCGGAGTGGAGCGGAATGAGGCCGCTGGTCGGGGAACTGGACGAGTCAGCAGGCCGGCAGGGAGCCAGCTCAGGTAAAAGGAGAGACTTCATAATAAACAGACTCCAACCTTCTACTGGTAAACTTGAATAATTTCCTGACAACCATTTCTCATCTTTTTGCAGTTATTGTATTGTACACTGTTCCATGGTTAAACGTGTACTGATGGTAGTCTGTATGTTTGCTGGCACTCAAACATCTATTCACACAGCTCTTTAGGATGAAATGCACTTGAGTCCAAATAAAGTGAATTGCTCTATACCGGGTGATAGCAGCATGAAGTGATCACAATCAGAAAATACATTGATGTTCAAAAGTTTGGAATCTCTTTACACTTTTTCTTGTTTTATTCATTACATTTGAACAGAGATAACATCATTGATTTTCTTAAGAGGAGAATGAAATGATTACATCTTTGATCTTAGATGATTTCCCCACAGTGTGACATGAATTGTTAGTGACTAGCTATCAATATTAAATCACTAAGTTTAGATTGGACTCTAAATATTGAGTTTCTCTCAGAGCCCTCTGCACTCTTTAAACTGTGATCTGTCAGTCACATGTCCAGCTGTACATCCACTAAAATTCTGTTTCTGTTTAAAGAAAGGCTTTGCTAGAGCAGTTCAGTCCAGCTTGTTAGAGGTATTATTGTACGCTTGACACTGGACCAGAAAGCTTTTTTTAATTTAAATCGGCACACATGTTGATGCTAAGCTAACAGCTTCTCTCACCAATGACTGCTGATTTCTTCTGTTCTTATTGAACTGTTGCTCAGAGGCTCTTAGTTACTCTGCCCTTTACACTGTCAGTCTGGATGTTCATAATTCTGCCTTCATACAAATAACATGTATCTTTAAAGAGGACGTTCTATAAGCTTAATGTATGAACGTGCATTCAGAAGTATAGTCGTCCTCTCATCTGACTGAAGCTTTGGTGGCAGCAGGAGATTACAAAGTGTTTTAATGTACTGTTTGTCTGCTTATCCACTTTTTCAAAGTAGGAGAAGAGGTTTAGAGTGTTCATCATCTCATCTGATAATGTTTTGCAGATGAACGAACCCACGCTGATCTTGGTGTCTCAACTGAGGCCAGTGTGCCGCCGTCTTACACAGTGTTTCCTCCTGAAGCCTGGCCCCACAGCGCCTCTCCCCCAGGTGTGAGTCCACTGCAGCAGACCCTGCTCATACAGGCAGCATCACCACCAGACCGGGGTCCAGAGAGGACTGTAGGTGAGCTTTACACCATTCAAGTCATTACAGCCAATTCTAAAATGACCTTATGATGGTTATATCAAGGGGAGTATATTACAACCATGCACAATATTTAACTTCAGCCGAGTTAAAGTTTGATTTAGGAAACTAAATGTGTCAGCCTTCTTATATTTGCATGACTTGTCTTACCCAGTAAGAAACTATGTGCTTCATCTTCATGTTCATCCCCATGTTCATCCCCATCTGGTTCAGACTCATTCCACCCGCTACTGGCGGAGGTCCCCCACAACGAGACAGCAGACCCCTCCATGACCTTTCACCTACCTGACCACCATGTGCCTAGCTGTACTGAAGGACGGCCACACAGCAGGGGGGAGGAGTCTGAAGTCAGCCCTGATCCTTCTGTTGAGTCTGAGCCGTCCCCTGAGCGCCTCCGAGCAGAGCAGCCGGCCAGCTGCACGGCCGCCCCCCCCCTGCATGGATTCTTCTCTCAGCTCATCACTTCCCAGTGCCACCCCCATGCTTTAGCCATTTGTGATGATTCACTTACTGTGGGCGAAGCAGATAAAGACAGAAACCCAATTTCTGTTAGGGGTGGAGATTCAGTCCCACTCAGTGACCTCTCTGTGGGGATATTGGTAAGATTGTGTTTTTCACCTTTATAAACTTTGAAAAAGCGTTGTCTTCTAGAAATTCACTGACTATTACAATGCCCTAAAAGGAAACACTATGTAACTTGTCAAAGTTCCCAGTGCCATTTGGGTTTTGATATCTACATCTAAGTTATCACAAAAGGCATTGCCGAAATCAGCTCAAGGCTCAAAACAAGCCTATCAAGACAGAGCATCTGCATTTTATTTCCATACCTGATATATTATGATTCAATAAAGTTAGACACAAAACAACCACAGTTGTTAGTAATACAACCACAAAGTGTGTGTGTGTGTGTGTGTGTGTGTGTGTGTGTGTGTGTGTGTGTGTGTGTGTGTGTGTGTGTGTGTGTGTATGCCTGTGTTTGAGAAAGAGAGAGAGAGTTNTTGTACACTTCACACTTGACCAGAAAGCTTTTTTTAATTGAAATCGGCACACTTGTTGATGCTAAGCTAACAGCTTCTCTCACCAATGACTGCTGATTTCTTTTGAAATCAGCAGTCATTGGTGAGAGAAGCTGTTAGCTTAGCATCAACAAGTGTGCCGATTTCAATTAAAAAAAGCTTTCTGGTCAAGTGTGAAGTGTACAATAATACCTCTAACAAGCTGGACTGAACTGCTCTAGCAAAGCTGTTCTTTAAACAGAAACAGAAGGTTAGTGGATGCACAGTGCACATTTGTGAATATCAGGCTCAGCTGGACATGTGACTGACAGATCACAGTTTAAAGCTCTGTAGTCTAACACTGAGTGCAGAGTTCTTAAAAACAGATTCAGCTCAATAATATTCTCGATCAATAATTATTTGAGGGTCACTCAACGCTTTTCAGTACTAACCAATTCTAAATCTTAGTAGCACTAGCATCAGCATCCTCTCCTTTCAAGATTTTGGGGACATCAACATCATCTACGTGGAGGTTTGAATTATTTGGTTATTTTTCATGTAGGTCCACAACTATTTAAAATATAAATAACATATTTAGAGAGCAGGTGATTCCAACCTTGCCAGTTTTGTATTATTTTCAATGTTTTATTATATTAATTTACAAATATAATTTCTGAGGGAGGCAGTCGTATTTTCATTTGTCCTCCAGTTTCTCCTCACGCAGCTTTTCTTTAGCATTGGGCTGAAAGTCCTTGCAGCAAGCTGCACCACTTGCTTCCTAATGAGGAATGCTAATAGCTAATAACCTATTTAGGAGGGACTGCAGGACTAATGTAAAAAGCGTATCCTCTGTAAACGTGACATGGATCCATGAGGGAACATTTTGTATCAGACTACCTTTTTGAAATATCAGAGCTATCTGTTCACTGTGCAGAATGAGTCACACATTTGTAGATTCATCATAATCTATTTTAATCAGTGGCGTTTTCTCCCGGAGGCCAAGGGAAGCCAGGCTTCCCCTGTTTTTTCGGATTGTAGTTATAATTTAAATAAAAACACTTTGTTTTGTTTCGATAATTCTCCTTTGCTGTGTGTTGCTGCCGGCCCATCTCTCCCCCATTCTCATTGAGTATTTTACAAAGAGTGAAACAAACAGCGCCCCTCTAGATGTTATGGTGAAACGGTAGATTGCACTCACTGTTGCGAGAGGAGGCCAGCCGAATCTGGCTTCCAATGGTGAAAAAAAATGGAGGGATTGACCAATCAGATGAGGCCCACGTGATGCCCCTGCCAACCTGTGATTGGTCAGGGCCATGCCAAGGGAAGCCAGCCGCCTCTTGCTTCCCTTCAGAGGCGGCTGGCGATTTGATTGGACACTGCCATCCAATCAAATCAAATCAACATCAGTTTTAATACTGTAACTGTCATCACCGCCGTTAGAAATTATCAAGCAAATGAAGTATTATGGAGGGTGGAGATTTGGCGTACTTAATCAAACATAACTTTACTAAACTTCCTTTACAGCAGCAACTACAAATTAAATCAGATGACAGGCCAATGCCCGCACTCGAGCTGTGTACACAGAGGAAAAAGGGAGCGAATCGGACGTTCAATGAGGACAATCATGTCCGCACGGAGTGGCTAACTGGAAGCGCTAAACTTCAGCGTCTATTTTGCTGGCCATGTCTTCTTTTTGTCAAGGATTCGTGCTCCCTGAACAATCCTTGGGCAACTTGTCTTCATACCTTGCTAAGTAAAATGCTTAAATTAATAAGACGAGAGAGTTTCAGCTGGAGAGTGCGTGCAGACCTTTCGGTTAGATAACAGACGTGTGCAAGTCCTGCATCTGTGTGATAAAAATGTGTGTAAAATGATACTGGCCATTATTGACCACCCCCCCCCGACCCAAAAAAATGGGCTTCCCCTAAATTTTTCCCCACGCCATGCTACTGCTCCAGTGCACGCTATTACGGGCACTATAGAGCACTAGGGGTGGGCGGATCGATCGCAAAATATCGATACTTCCAATATTACGTTACGTTTCAAAATATCAATACTAGAGAGAATAGGATCG